GTGATGAGAAGACCCTCTAGCGAAGGGTAATCGATGCTCGACGGATTCGGGGGTCCGATTATTGTTTTCGATTTGTTCTTCTAGGACTGTTGAGAGTGCCAAGCCTTTGTCCTTTGTCTTCTCTATCTGTGGAGTATGTATGGAAGGTGGGATGCCCTCAATCCCCATCATCGGAACTGAGTGCAGAGCTTAGAGACAAAGTGTTCCACGCTTACCGCACCAATTGTGCGTATCGGATTCCGCACTAGATAAAAGTGGATCGAGGAAGAAGTGTAGAGAGTTGAGTTTGTTGTAAGTGGAGTTCAGTTTGGATCAATTACCTTCAATGTGAAGTTTATGTAGTATATATAGAGTTCCTTGCTTGTTTCCCAAGATGGTTTCATGGAGCTCTGGTGTTGCCAAGCTTCCTTTTAGCATGGCCCCAGGTGAGGGACCATTTGGTAGTTTCCTAGAGGTTGTAGTCATGCTGATAACAAACCACATTCCTGTAGTTTAACTGCTTCCGTGATTCTTAGGGAACCAGCTGAGGTGGCAACTTGCACATGCATATACTCATAGCTTCCACGTTTCTTTAAGAGGTTCCCTCAGCTCGGCACCGTTATGCCTCGACTCGGCCCTTTGCGAGGCTACTATTAGGATGGGCTGGTCCATTCGGATATTTGTGTACGGATTCAGCCTACTTTGGTTCTGATGATGGGTTTGTCCCATCAGTTTGGCCCATATAATGGGTACTTCAACTCGGCCCTAGCCCAGTATCACAGCTGGACTGACATTTCCACTGCGAGTTGGGTCTAAGTGCTTGAGGACTTGGGTGGACTGTTTGTAATGGAACTGGGCTTAGCTGGGTTGCCCACATGCTCATCTGACCCATTTGGATTTGGGCTTAAGGGATTGGACCGGCCCGAGGCTTGTTTCCGACCCATTTCTTATTTAGCCCCTTTATGGCGTGTGTGCAAAAATGTGCTAGCAACAAAGGAAAATCTGTATCGCAGAAGATGTGCGGGGACTCGGCTATGCCCAATCTATCAAAAATACCTCGAAACAGTTGAACATCTTTTGTTTGGTTGTGAGTGGGTAAGAGCTGTTTGGTTTGGTAGTGACATGAAATTTAATATTGATGGAGGTCCAAACCTCTCAGTCCTCAAATGGTCGAGTGATTTGTTGGACAGTTTTGAGTCACCCAAGGAGTGGGAGAGTTCTATTAGTCTCATTGTTTGGATTGGGTGGTTCATTAAATTGTTTCAATCATATTGCGGTAGAGCCCTCCTCGACTTTGATTAGAGCTTGAGCAACAAAATTGGAGTGTGATAGAGCGGCTTGCAGGGATGAAAGACAAACTCGTAATTGCTGTTTGACAAGAATCTTTAATCTGAGAAACGCAGGGTATAATGTGGCAAGCCCCTAACCTTGGGTCCTACAAGATCAATTGTGCTGTGGCGATAAAAAAGTGCTCCCCTGAAGCCTCTGTTGCTGTGCTATTGAGGGACTCGGGGTAAATTGATTGATGGTCTTATAGAAGTTGGAGAGTTTCATCTTCTCTTCAAGGCAAAACGTTAGCCTGCACGTGTGCTTGTCAATTAGCACAAGCCTGCAACCTAAATATGGTGGAGATTGGAGCGGACCAAAAGATCGTAATTTTCCTGTGTGTTTCTGAAAATGCTCCGCCTTGGGATTGCGATGTGATAATTAGTGACACCAACCATTTGGCTGCTCATGGGAATTTTGGCTTCAGTTGGAATTATAGGAGTTTTGAGTTTGTTTATTTTGCTAGTTGTCTATTTTTCTTGTTCCAAAAGAAAAAAGAAAAAAAAAGAGCTCATAATTCGGCGGCAATGCTTGTGGCGCTGCCAACGAAAAAAAAAACCTACTACAAATATAGACTTGTGAATTTAGAATTTATCTAGAAAAAATAATTAGTGGTTTAAATTTATCTTACTCATACACTTCACATTTTATCAATTTAATTTCAATCACACAAACATATTCTGTGCACATTATGAATTGATAAAGGTAAATTTATAGCATTTTTGACAAAAACTTGCAATCTTATGGTCCCAAATCAGGCCACCATAGTCTAGACTATCTAGTCCAAACTTCCTTTGCAGCTCTATTTGTGTTGAGTTTAGTTTTCAAAAAAGGTTGGGGGAACATGACACATTAAAACGAATATCTTGATATAGTTAATTATTTATAATTTTAATATATTTTTTATATATTTTAATTTTTTTTTTACACATTTTCAACACCAAGGCTGTTTATAATATTTTTCTAAAAGAAAAAGAGAAAATTGATTTAAAAATATAATTTTTATACATAAAATTCAACTGGAATGATGTGACTATGGCTGTTAAATTCTTGAAATTATAAATCACAATAATAAATATTTTAATTTAAAATAAAAATTCACAAAAGACTACATTTTTTATGTTATATTATGTATAAAATTCTTGTTTGTATATCTTTCCCAGAGAAAAAAATCAAAGTGAGACCAATTAAAATAGTTTTTTTTTTTTTTTTGAATAATTTTTTTTTTTTTGAATAATACCAATTAAAATAGTTAAAGGGGTCATTTTGTGTTCTGCATTATATAATAAAAAATTCTAATCTTATTCCATCATAATAATGTAAAGCTACAGTATTTTTAAGACTAAATTACATTATTTATTTATTTTATTTTATTTTTTGGCCAAGAGAAATAAGGACCATTGGAAAAGAAAGATGTACTGGCAACGATAAGGAGAGAGTACATTTACTCGAGTCCAGATCCTTTTCTTGCAAGCCCTCCTTGATCTCCTCCTTACAACGGCTGAGATCAGCTGTTGCACATCCAACGACCATAAATAAAAAAAAAAAATTGAAATTGAAATTTCATTTTCATTTTCCCGCCCAAAGACACAGAACAAAGCCTATACAGATTTTGGTTTCGAATCACACTCACAAAAACATACTCATTCCTTCTTCTCCGTCGAACCCACACTCATTTGCGGCCCAATACCGGTGGCGACCCAGTCTCAACGCCGTTGCAGATCCGACGACGGGGAAACACTCTCGAGACCGTTACAGATTCTGTCTACTTGGCAAATCAAAAATGGTAATTTCTCTCTCTCTCTCCGATCCCTAGTTTGATGTTTATTTCCACAACAGAATTCGAATCTCGAAGAGATCAATTTTACCTTATTTTTTATGTTGAATTCCAGAAAAAAATGTCTTTTGGGCTAAAGTTCCAATCTTTTTGTCCAACCAATTGTTTTCTCGGTCATTTTCTCTAGAAACAAACAGGGGTTTTTGTTGTTTCATTGATTTTCAACTTTTTTTTAGCCTAAAGTTCAAAATTTTCTTGTCCAAGGAATTATTTTCTCTGGAAAAAAACAGTGGTCTTTTATTTTGAAGTTGATTTGTGAATTTCTTTTTTTCTAGTTCGTTTTCTTCCTTTCAAAATTTAGAGTCATTAAACAATCCTGGGATTTGAATTCTAATTATTCAGACGAAAACTTGGAATGAAGGATCAATAACTTGCTCAAAATGCAATGGTTTAACTAGTTATCAGCTATTTGATGATTAATACTGTTTGACAAGAATCTTTAATCTGAGAAACCAAAAGAGTGTTCAATTGATTGTTATGGAAAATGATGGATTTCCATAGAAGAGGCTGTTTTTGGAATGAAGGATCAATAACTTGCTCAAAATGCAATGGTTTTGGATCTTTGAGAAAAAGTACACATTTCTTTTCGTTGTCACTAGAGTTTTTCATGGATGAATAAGATAAGATTTTCATGAGTATTCTGTGTATATGGATGAATAAGATTTTCTTAGATGTGGATTTCATCAACAAATTTTTTAAAATCTTATCCATTCGTTTATATTTTGTGTTCGTAATTTGATTATGATTTTTTTACTGTAATGTAGTGAACGAAGGAATGAGCCGGAGGGCTATTCACAAAGCTTTTTGGGAATCAGCTGCTCTAATCGGGCCTAGCGTTCTCCAAGTTTACCTTCTATGATGCCGGTTTGATCGGAAGCTAGGGATGTCCAGAGTTTAGGTTTTGCTTTTGTCTTGCCATATTTATGTTTTCAGAATTTTGGATCTAAAGAAAGATTGTATAGACACCATTAAGCAATTTAAAATGGAGGGTTTTTGACTTTGGATGATTAAATTAAGAGAACTGTCTTTGAAATTTTTCTGATTTGTTGGCCTAACTCTATTGTAGGTGAGCAAGAAATAAAATGTATCATGTTTCTCTGTTATATATATAAATTCTCCGTTTTGATCTGTGAAATTTCACAGTGTCAGTAAACATTATTAACCGTGTGGCAGCTGATGCATGTGATTATTGTGGGCGACTTGGTTTGTAGACCGATCGAGAACAAGGCGTTTATGTACATGAGAAGTTGAAATTAGTTGTTTGTCGCAGCTGATGCATGTGATTGCTCATTGTGATCAATTTTTGGTTTATAGATCAGTCAAGAACAGGGCGATTAGGAATATCAGGAGTTGATATTAGTTGCCCGATGTTGGCAGTTTTCCTGCCAACAAACATGGATATGACTTTTGTAATTTTGTTTTCATAATCTGTTTTCTAAAAATAATAAAAGCTAATTTGGTGAAAATAAACACTTAAAAATACATTTTTAAAAATATTCTTGCACCCAAACAAAATGTAGGACAAAAATTTTTCATTTTTTTTATTACCAAATTAGTTTCAATGTTTTTCAGAAACAGATTCTGAAAACAAAATCAAATAACTGATGGATATGACTTTTGTAATTTTGTTTTCATAATCTGTTTTCTAAAAATAATAAAAGCTAATTTGGTGAAAATAAACACTTAAAAATACATTTTTAAAAATATTCTTGCACCCAAACAAAATGTAGGACAAAAATTTTTCATTTTTTTTTATTACCAAATTAGTTTCAATGTTTTTCAGAAACAGATTCTGAAAACAAAATCAAATAACTGAATAAGATTTGTTTAAAAAAAAAAAAAGGTCCAAGAGAACGCATGAACCAAAAACCACTCTACTAATCAAACAAGTAAGACATGAGATGAGAAAGAAAAGGAAAATCATAGAATGGACAAGCTCTACTGCCCATAGTACAAGCCAGAAACAACAAACCAATAGCTAAAGCTTCACATGATAATCCACCAAATCAGTACATATACATACAATAAAGTTCTTTTCTTTTCTTTTCTTTTCTTTTTTCCTTTTTTCTTTTCATATTTTACTCTTTCCCCACAAAAAATGCAGTTTTACAACACATAAAATGGATTCAAGCAGCACCCATCATCGATCTACAGCTCCTAAAATGTGGTGGGACCAACTATGAACATGTTCTTTTACTATAGCTCTTGCTCAGGGAAATAGCCTCAAGATTCAGCATCCGGGGCTTGCATGCAGCAAAACCATTTTTTCTGCAAATCAGTACGTCTTCTATATTAGCAAATAATAAGAAAACAAATAACCTAACAATAACGTTCAGATGCTTCTTTTGTGTGCTTCTGATTTGAGAAAGTTATTCTAATGTTATTACTAGACTATTGGTTAACAATATAGCATAAAAATGCTAAAACTTCCTCTATCTACGGCTAGGTCATGGAAATAGACACAGAAATAGCACCAAGAAGGATGATCCAATACAAGGTGCTGATTTGGCCAAATTTGTCCATGAACGAAGCAAGAACAGAGAGAGTCGTGTTCCTTTCCAAGTATTAACCAGACAACAAACCGACCATTCATAGATAAGAGGACACGACCAAATCAACAAACTTCTTTTTCTTGTGTAATGCCATCTTCCATAACAATTAATTGAACACTCTTTTGGTTTCTCAAATTAAAGATTCTTGTCAAACAGTATTAATCATCAAATAGCTGATAACTAGTTAAACCAAATTGTTCTAGATATTTGTGTTATCAACTTATCACACAATCAACAAAAATTAAACATAGCATATCACTGTATAAAACCAGAGACAAGTTGCTTTGAAGTAAAGCTTACCACAAGATTAACCCCATCAGGAGCATAATGCCACGAACCCTCAGGCTTAATAACAAACAAAGGAGAAATGAATTGTGTCGCCATCGTATTCAACCTTGTGTGAGAAACATTCCTCCCTATCAATCACAAATCTAATCCCAAAGACCAATTACAGGCTTGACAATAAAATTGCGAGTGTCACAACCACAGCAAGTCCAGTGGACCAAATTTTCATCTAAATCAGAATTCAAATTCTATGATTTTTTTAGCACAGTGCAAATAACTCCAAATTTTGGAAAGGAACTAGAAAAGAGAAGTTTGTAAATCAACGTCAATTATAGAATCAAAACCCCTGTTTGTTTCCGAAGAAACAAAAATGATGGGTAAAAAAGATTTTAACTTTAGGGGCTAAAAGACAATCTCTACTGCAAATTCAGGGGACCAAGTTTTCATCTGAATTAGAATTCATATTCCACACATTGTTTAGCACAGTGCAAATAACTCTAAATTTTTGAAAGGAAAAAAAAAATGGACTAGAATAGAAAAATTCACAAATCAACCTCGGCTAAGAATCAAAAACCTTCGTTTGTTTCCAAAGAAATAATTTCTTTGGACAAAAAAGATTCAAACTTTAGGCTAAAAAAAACATTCTATTTTGTAAATTTAGGGGCCAAGTTTTCGTTTGAATAATTAGAATTCAAATCCCAGGATTGTTTAATAACTCTAAATTTTGAAAGGAAGAAAACGAACTACAAAAAGAGAAATTCACAAATCAACTTCAACTACAAAATAAAAGACCCCTGTTTTTTTCCAGAGAAAATAATTCCTTGGACAAGAAAATTTTGAACTTTAGGCTAAAAAAAAGTTGAAAATTAATGAAACAACAAAAACCCCTATTTGTTTCCAGAGAAAATGACCGAGAAAACAATTGGTTGAACAAAAAGATTGGTTTAGCCCAAAAAATAAGATAAAATTGATCTCTTGGAGATTGGAATTCTGTTGTGGAAATGAAAATCGAACTAGGGATCGGAGAGACAGAGAGAAATTACCATTTCTGATTTGCCAAGTAGACAGAATCTGTAACGGCGTCGAGAGTGTTTCCCCGTCGTCGGATCTGCAACGGCGTCGAGACTGGGTCGCCACTGGTATTAGGTCGCCGGTGAGGGTGGGTTCGACGGAGAAGAAGGAATGAGTGTGTTTTTGTGAGTGTGATTCGAAACCAAAATCTGTATAACAAAAATCTGTATAGGCTTTGTTCTGTGTCTTTGGGTGGGAAAATGAAAATGAAATTTCAATTTATTTATTTATGGCCGTTGGATGTGCAGCGGCTGATCTCAGCCGTTGCAAGGAGGAGATCAAGGAGGGCTTGCAAGGAGAGGATCCGAACTCCATTTACTCGGCCGAAAAAACAAATCCCTTATCATTTTTCGTTAATTCACTATATTCAAACAAGTTGTAAGGTAATTTGGTAAGAAATAATAAGAAATAAAGAGAAAGATCTATTTTCATATTTGGTTTTATAAATTTGAAAAGAAATTGTAAGAAAAACCCTCTCTTATTTTGTTAATCTCATTTCTCATTAAAAATTGTTAAATTTACTGAAAACAACTTGATTGGTTATAAAAATTTTGTAATAGAGATTGTTTATTAAAGGGTTGTTTGGGGTGTCTTCAATAAGTGCACTTTTTTGTCTTTTTGGATTAAAAAGTTGAGGAAAAAAATATGGATGTTTGGATTAACTTTTTGATTTTTTTTATGAAAAAATGTGTATTAAAAAATTGTATAAATAAATGTATAGGAGAAGTTAGTGAAGTAGGCCGTACAGGTTGGGCAGTGCAGTCGGCTGGGTAGGAGATGGGAAAAGATTGTCTCCTTTTCGGGCTTTAATTGGACGGTGTTGTTCAGCCCGTGAGGGCCCACCACGGGTCTCATTTTTCTAATTGGAACCGTTCAATGTGTAGAACTCGTCGAATACTATATGCTTGTAAAAAATCACGTTGATTGGATATCGATAGTTATCTGATCGTGTTAGTTTTTTTTGTCAACTGTTAACTATAACACCACCCATTTTTTATACAAAACTGATTTGATCATGTAGTTAGCGATATCCGATAGACGTGATTTTTTACATGCTTATAGTATTAGACGAGTTCTACATATTGAACGGTTCGGATTATCAAAACAGGACCCATAGTGGGCCCCCACAGGCCCAACTTTACCATCCAACTTAGTGAATATACACATGTAATTTTTTTTTCCTTTCATTGTTATTGCTTTCACGTCAGTACCTAGAGTGGCGTGAAGTTAATTTGTATTTTAATATTTTGTATATTAATTTTTTTATATATTTTTTTATGAATAGTGGTAACTTTTTAACTTTTTTTGTAACTTTTTGACTTTTTGACTTTTTTTAAAGTTCCCAAACTAGGCCTAAATTACAAAGGAACTGTCACAATTCAAACCTGTTCGTAAAAGTTTAGGACATGACCGACCTGTACTTAGGTCTCAAAAGCAATTACATGATACAACGTTCATCAAGTCGTGCATATATGCCAGGATCATTACACAACTTGCCATAATTGGAGAAGTTCACATGTACTGTTCTAGACAAAAACACAATTCAAGGCAAGTATATGTACAAATAGTTAATAACTCAAAAGTTACATTACCATAAAATGTGCAACAAAGCCACCAACATCATTACAAAAATGTGGCACTGAACCCCTTAAGAAACAAAAAGACTCCACTTGGTTTAAGGAAAAATGTCCACAAAAGGCGCCTAAAGCTAACCTAGGGCTGGCCTCCTAGCTGACTACCTACAAAACATACATGAATACGGAATGACTCAGGCTCAGTAAATAATAATAATGTAATAGAATATATAAATGATCATGTGTCTTGCAAAACGTGTACGTATTACATGTATGTCCTTTTTCTCAATACATTTCAAAACGGCCTTGGGCCCAATTATAATGATAGAACGGCCTCGGGCTCAATAAATACAGAACGGCCTCGAGCCCAATAATAACAGAACGGCCTCGAGCCCAATAATAACATGCCATAAATAAGTCACATCTCATATCCATATTTCATATTCCAATTCTTGTAGTTCATGCATTCAAACAAAACATAACTTTTGAGAATCACACATTAACGTATCAAAATAAATACAAGTGAATCTATTCTGTTTTACACTACTATTACTCACAGTGATCCGGTTGTGCGGTGGTCCCTTCCGATGAGTGACCTACACATCACACACATAAAGTGATAAGCAATGTATTCTTTTTTTAGCTTTTGTCATTAACTCTAACCCGTTTCCATTCGTTTCCTTTTGTTTTTATACACAACATATGTACATGAACTAGTTGAAAACCATGCAATTGGAGGCTCGGAAGTCCAAAAATAGAAAGGGAACAGAAAAATCAACCCTGTTGGCCGTACGTGCGGTGGCCTTGGCCGCACGAGTAGGCGAACTTCAGAATCGAATTTGGCCAAAACAGGGTTGGCCGCTTGTGCGGTGGCCTAGGCCGCACGAGCAGTCTGGGTTGCAAACTTCAGTCCGAAAATCTTCAAATTTTAAGCTTTCCAAATGCCTTTCAAAGGCTCAATTCAAGCAATTTCACTTCAACAACATCTCATATGATCATAACAACATGAAACCTAAATTTAAGTAGAACACAACTTGTTTTAATTTGGCTTGTAAACTTCAAATTTCCATATTTCCTTCATATTCTTTATCTTTTCATGATATATATATACACAAACATATATACAAACATGTATACATGAGTTTAAAGCATGCCAAAATCTAAAGATATAAAGGCAATGACTCACAATCCAACTCAAGACAACTCAAAACATAAGAATCAATCCTTTAATTAGCCAAATCCAAAGATTATATGTTCCATTTTATGAAATTTGATCAAACACAATCATAAACCCTAACTTCCATGGGTGACAAAGCTTCATCTAAGTCTTGATTCTAATCAATTGAGGAAAGATACAGAATAATCTTGGTAAGTTAAACATACCTTAAGCTAAATCCTTGAAACCCCTCTTCAATTCTTCAATCTTCCAACCCTAGGTTGGGTTCTCTTCCCCTTTCCTCTTTTCTCTTCTTCCCTTCCCTAAAGCTCTTCCCAGGAGGTATTTTTGTTACGTTTGTCTAAGTCTCCTAAGGCTTTTGTTTATAACTTGCTCTATTAAGCTTTTTGAGTCAAAATGGGACTTTAATTGGGAAATTAGCCAAATAAAGGTAATTAAATTACTACGAATCAAATTTTTATAAAATTTCATATTATGACCTAAAAATCATACTGATCATAACTGTAAAATCAATTTTAGGTTATCGCGCTTCTAAGGCTTCCAATTTCAATCCAAATTTTGCAATTTCAACAGATGTTTTTATAACCGACAGATACAATTCCATAAACATGTAATTCACACATTAAGACATGGAATTTCATTTCAAATGTATAAATATACATATAATCACACACCTAATGAGAGATTTAGGTATATGAGAGGGTCGAGTTATTACAGGAACAAAACAAATCTCATTGATATCATCGGATGGATGGGTTCCATTGTCCGAACAACCGTGACTATTGTACAAATGGCAAAACAGCTATCTTTCATCCTCATTTCACATCTTTTTATTTTTTATAACAAGTCCAATCCTTACTCTCTTTGATTTTCTTTCCATCAAATTTAAGGGAAAAATTGGTTAAAGTTTAATATGGTTCAAAACACATCAATCTTTATTTTTTTTTTCCGTTAAATCTTTTTGAAAATTCTGCACTTATACCAATAACTTGTTTTAACCATTTTTTTATGAAAGAAAATTATTTCTAATTCTTACTCTTTTTAAAATTTTATCAAAATTAAGTAAAACAATGACTATTGAAAATTTATTGAAGTATTTGTTCATCTTTAATATGATGAAAATTTTGCCTCTTAATTTGATGAATGAATGGAGCCCATTTTCAATTATTTATTCATCAAATTTAAATTTTTTTGATAATAGAATTGGTAAAGAATTAAAGATGCTTTTATCCAGCCAAACAAAATAGTAAAAAATTACAATTTTTTTTTTTCTTACATAGTTGAGAAATCACAATTAATTTTTTGTATTCTTCACACTTGTTACACCAAAAGTGACTATGCCAATTGGGAATTTTTAAGTAAGTCCTTTTTTTTTGAATTTTTTTGTTTTTAGTGATTTTTTAAAAACTATGTTAATTTTTCTTTACCTTTTTCGGTATGTATTATGTAGACAAATCTAAAAAGTAATTTTTTTTTAAAAAAATCTATAAAAAAAATTAAAAAGCCTATAGAATTTACTGTTTTTAGCTTATTTTATCTTTTCTAAACATCTTAAATATTTTAAATTTTTTAAAAATAATTATTTAAATCGAAAATGAGAAATTTAAACCTTGGTATAAGGGCGTTCCAACACTACTATTTTCTTGCAAAAAAAATCTAATTTGGTGCTTCATTTATAACATCAAATCAATATCAATATTAAATTGAGCATGTCTTAAACTTTTTATTAAATTGAAGATACCTAAAGCATTTTATCTAATTTATAGGTGACCGTTAAGTCGGACGTTCGCTTGAACGTCCTTTTAGACAATCTCTTCCTTGTAAAATTGTTCTACAAGTTGTGATCATTTTATATCAAAACGATCGACCAGCCGGATGTTTATCCAATCGTCCTCCTGATTAACCGATACTTTAATAAAAATTAAAATTTTTTAATTAAAATGTACAATATTAAATAAAATTTTTACTCAAATTTTTATTTAAATTAAATGAAAAAAAGAAGAAGATTTTATTGGTTGGGACTTGGGACGGCTCGTAAATTAACCTTACCTTACCAAGGGGTATTCTGATCTGAGCCACCGCACCACCGAACCCCGACCATGTTCCGACAAGCGCCTCAGCTCATGGCACGAGCCACCACGGTGGCGATGAGGTGTCGCCGCCAGTTCTCCACCGACGTCCCGGTGGAAGCTTCCGTGGACTCGACGTTCGTGGAGGCGTGGAGGAAATTGATACCAAACATTGAGCCACCGAAGACTCCGTCGTCCTTCATGACTCCTCGCCCTTCTACGCCTGCCTCCATCCCCACCAAGCTCACCGTCAACTTCGTTCTTCCTTATTCCTCTCAACTATCCAACAAAGAGGTCTAGCTCTTGCCTTTTCTGATTTTGATAATTGCTCATTGTTTTCTTGTGAATCATGATGTAATTTGTTGATATTGCCATGTTCAGTTTTTTATTTCTGTGATTTTGATATGTGGGTTTGGTGGTTATGGTGTTGTTAGGGTTTCTAGATTGTAATAATCAATATGATTTTGTGGGGGTAAATTATACTGACCTAGAAAAATTATCATAAGCCCTACAAGTTTGACAGAATTACACCAATGATCTAGTGTTAGTAAGGCTAAAGTGACCGGAACTATGTGGATGATTTGGTTGGAGTGAAATCGGCTTATTTTTCAGGGGTGGATGAGTCGGTTTCTGGCAATTTTGTATAGTTGCGTCAGGGGACAGTGTCACCAGATTTGTTTTCTCTTTTGGATTTTTTTGATACACTTCGGCTTTTGGTTCTGTTGAAATTTTCCGATGAATTCATTAGCATCTCCTTAATGCTTTTTCGTTAATAAAATTGTCTTTCTTTATCAAAAAAGGAAGTGACCAAACTAGTGCAGATATTTTGTAGACACATGTATAAAACTAGGATGTTTAAGTGTAAAAGAGATAATAATATAACCTCAAGGGGTTGGCCTAGTGGGCACAACTTAGGGTCTCTCCTTCCACGTCTCAAGTTCAATACTCACTAGCTGCAATAAGCTCCTTGGGGCCAGTTCATAGAGAGCATTTGCCCTAACTTTAAATGGGGTCCCCGTAAGTGGACAGTGGGATTGGTCCCTGATTAGTTGAGGTGTGCGTTATTTGGTTTGGACACCGGGTCATCAAAACAAAAAGAAGAAGAAGAAGAAGAGATTATAATATTATTTTTATTTCATATGACTAATGAAAAGGGACTAAATATTATATGAATAAAATCTTAAAAGCTCCCAGTGTAATTATGTCAAATTTATGGAATTTGATGTATTTTCTCCAAATCTCAGTGCAGGATAGTGTGATTTGCCCTTAAGTCTTGGCTATACATAACTTTTTTTCCCCATTCAATGCATAGCATGCTCTTGTTAATTCCAAGTTACTGGATCTGTAGTTTTCGGAATATGTTTTCACCTATCTATTTGTTGGTTGATGTGCCATAAAAACAGATTTATAGAAACTATAGAAAATCACATTACAGTGATAAGATAAGTTGGTTTTTGGAAGTTAATCAGCATAGGAACATGGGAATTCGTTAAAAAAATTAAGGACAAGTATTGAAGAGAATTTGGGATGTTGGTTGAATCTCTTTTATTAAACTCATTACTCCAATTGAAGCCATATGACAGAATCAGTATAAGGAAGTTGGTTCATTGTGTGCTGAATTAGGAGTAGCAGGTGGTACCCTTTTCATGAATCTGTTTCGCAATTGGCATTTTTTTCCCCTCTTAATCTTTTTCCTTGTGTCTATGTGAGGGCTGTCTTTGTTATGGCAGTCTGGTGTTTGAAATTATAGGAGTTGGATGTTTGTTCTTGTCGGATGACCATTGGAGTTGTTATTTTGCAAGTCTATTTTTGTTTGCATTTGTGCAGATTCTAATCATTTCAGATGGAGTCATCTTATATTATCAGCAAGAATTTGAATCACAATTTGGTGGGAATTAATTGAGGGGGTATTCTGTGAGTAGATAATCCTGTTAGTATCTCTTCTATAGTTAATGCATATATATTCTATGATCCCCACCATCACAAGTTCCTTTTCTACTCTTTGCTGGAGGATTCTTTACAAGTTTGTGATGGAATAGTATCCAGAAGGGAAACTCATTTCCAGTCTCCATTCTGTTTTACTGTGTTAAGGACAAAACTAGGAAAAAAGGAAATGTTGTCTTGATTGCTGGCTAGGAGAGTAATTAAACAATAGCTAGAGTAAGATTAGCTTTTCAATGACACCTCTCAGTCCCATTGGAGAATGTTCAGTAGATTCAAGCTGTTGCCAAGCAATATCTTGTCTATGTCATTTTAACAAAAGGTGGATTGTCTGTTGGATGTTGATGAGATACCTAATTGTTAAAAATTAAAAGTTGATTATGAACTTAAATTATGGAATTAGGTTCCCTTCTACTTATAACTCGTGCTTTCTATGCCGTGTCTCCATCCTGATTCATTGAGGGGTTTTGTGAATTTACCCATTTACTGGCTTTGGGTGGTGTGGTCTTCACTTTCTCTCACATTGAGAAGGTTGAAGGGATCCCTTTTGCTTAAGGAGAGGGGATTTTATGTGTAGTCTATATTCTTTACTATTTGTGTCACTGCAACTTTGTTGGTTTTCGTACAATTGTTTTATCAAATGTTTTCTTTGATAATGTTAGTCAGATTTTTGTTAGGCTACAAATTACAATTGACAAAGCCTTAACACAAATTGACCAAGTCAAAAGATCAAGCAACTGTTTGAGGGTTTGAATAGTTGAAGGTGAAACTCAGCAAATCAAACGGAACTAATCTGCAGTTTGAAATTTTATTACCAGTCCCTAAGTTACATATAATGGAAAGATACATTGTGAAAAATGAAAGCTACTCCTACAATAATGTCTTTTATGTTTCTGATTTTCCCAAAAAGTCCTTTCTCTTGTCTTCTCTTTTTCCTTTTATAGTCCCTTTCTGTCGATCTGGACATAATTGCCATGATATGATAGTTTTCCTCTTTTCCTGGTCGCAGGTTGCTTCCAAACTCCCTTCAACTGCTACTTTTTCATCAGACTTCGTGATCTTGTCACTTGTCCTCTTCTTGCAACTTCTGTTAACTGCTTCTAACTGCTCCTTCCAACTGCTTCTGTTCTATTAACTTGCAACACCAACTGTCCGACGCTTCTGTTGATTCAAGCTGCCGCATGTTCCTCTAATATGACTTCCATGTATCCTCTTGTTTTAAATGATATTCTCCACTTGCTTGCTCTGTCAATTTCATCTGAAAAATAAAATGGGTCAAACAGATAAGGAATCTTTCATCATATACATTCTTGAACCTATGAAGTCGCAAAGGGATTTTTAACCTAGCAATGTAATTTTGCAAAGTATGCCTCAAGTCTTATGCGATATGTGTTTGATGTGTGTTATAATGGTTATATATGTGCACTTTGTAATGTCTTCAGAAAATCGGTTTGCATTGCCTTTTAAAATCGTAAAGAAATCTTGTGCCTCTGATCTATTAATACCAAAAAACAATAATCGCTTGTAGAGATAATTTAGTACCCCTCTTTTGGGAAGTGGCTTAGAAGCCAATTTATTGGCTTTTTGACTTATTTGAATCATATCACCTCTCTACTTTTTGCACGTCTTTTGGTGATAAGCAAAAATGCCAGCTTATTTAGCACTCCCAAAGTAGGCTAATTATTTTAGTAAAAAAATCCAAATGAACTATGAGTTTTGGAACAGCAAAAAATCTTGGGCAATAATCCTAATTAAATGCTTAAAAACTTTCGGAATCAACAAGAAATCTGGTTGTTTATTTTTAGTCACCAACGTGGGGTTTGACCTTCCACTAATGTGATCAAGAGGGATAATCCCAATTTAGTTCCTGTTATACTTGCTGGCAAGTCCTTCCTAGCTCAGACAATTCAATATATAGTACCATATTGATTAGAATAAGTGGAGATGCTAGAAGGGGGGGAAGACTAAGTTGACATGGGAGGTCGTAATGAAAAAAGATTTGAATTTATCTTATTTAACTGAGCATATAGCCTTTGATAGAGCTGAATGGAGAAAAAAGATTCATGTAGCCAACCCCACTTGTTTGGAACAGAAGACTTAGTTTGGTTTGGTATAATGTCTCTTTAATGGTTTCCAATTGGAAAACAAGAGGGGAAAATGGGATATCTAGTTTGATGGAATTTTATGTTTTTTTTTTCAGGTTGACATGGTCATAATCCCGGCAACTACTGGACTGATGGGTGTTCTACCTGGGCATGTAGCCACAATTGCAGAGTTGAAGCCCGGAGTCTTCTCAGTTCATGAAGGTAATGAGGTTACCAAATACTTTGTTAGTAGTGGGTTTGCATTTATTCATGCAAATTCTTTTGCCGACATAATTGCCGTTGAAGCCATACCACTTGACCACATCGACCTGAGCCTGGTCCATAAGGGTCTTGCAGACTTCACTCAGAAACTGAACTCGGCATCAACGGACTTGGAGAAAGCTGAAGCCCAGATTGGTGTCGATGTACACAGTGCCCTTAACTCTGCTCTTACAGGTTAAATGTGTCCACACCTCTTTGAGGTTTGTTTTAGCTTTGCACAAGTGTCTTTTAGTCGGAGTGATGTTCTATATTGAAGATGATAAAACCTTTTTGAATAAACTTTTTGGAGGGAAGAAAAGCTCTTTGTGTTAAACGAGTTTGTTAGTTGCTGCATCACTTGTACTGACTTCTTGGAATCACAATAATGTATAACTTGGATCCTTGTTTTGTATCAGCTTTGTTTTTTGAGTGTGTTATGATTTATGGATATGGGTTTTGTATTACACTTGCATGTTTAAAAGCATATCCATCTTCGATAGAGGAATTACCATAAAAAGAAAAGAATGTGAAACCATCACCAAAAAATGATTGTCAAGGAAAAGAAAGCAGGTTGATTTCTTGCAGTAATCAAGAGGCATTCGATTTCTACCTAGCATTTGTGCAGGACGAAATAATTAGTTGGGGATTACTCTATTGAAAAATTGTTAAATTCAGTGATTTAGTTGTGATCAGTAGTTTAAGCTCAGTAATTTGGGGATGTTCTCTTGAAAATTCAATCATTTAGTTGCAATATTCTGCAATTTCTCTGTTTTTTTCTCTTTCCCCCCTTGTTTCCCAAGAACTTATTACAAAAGTTCCCATTTTTGTTTTAATGGCTCTATTCATTGTGATGTCGATGGTAAGTCAATTTTGTTCAAAGAATTTCTCAAGGGTTTGGCCTCCCTTTGTTGGGCCTGTGAAGGCTCACTACGAGTTATGCTTCGATAATTCGAACAGTTTCAATATGTAGAATTCGTCAAGTATTATATGTCTGTAAAAAATCATGTTGATCAGATATCGATAGCTATGTGATCAAATCAGATTTCTGTCAATTGTTTATCTTTTCATCATTAATTTTTTTTAATACAAAATTCATTTGATCACAAAGTTATTGATATCTGATCAATGTGATTTTTTTTATGCATATAATACTTGACAAGTTTTACACATTAAACAGTTTAGATTATTGAAACAGAATCCGTAGTGAGTATCTACGGACCCAATAACACCTTTCAATCTGATCACGGACGGGAAGGAAGTCAATCTGAATTGTCTTTCTAAATCACTTGAGAATGAGAACCAGATTATTAGAGGGGGTAAAATAATAGGTAAAATTTTAGGTGTATAGCATTATCCACGAATATAGGAATTACATCCTTTATTTTTCCGCATGGTGGCTGGAAGTTCGTAGCTTCTAATGACTCATTTGTCAGGACAAGGACCATACCATCTTGACAATTGTGAACTACTTAATAATTTGAATAAATTACAAACATATTCTTCTAATTTGTTTAAAATATAAATTATTTTTTATACTCGCCTCATAACAAATAATCCATTTCATTAGTAAACTATCAAATCAATTAAGGCCATGTTTGTTTGGGCGGATTAGATTAGTATTCCCATGATTAATAGTCCTAGGACTACGAATCCGTTGGATTATGTATCATATCTTAACTAATAGTCAAGTTTAAAATAATTAGTCCGTATTTTAATTATTTAACCAAACATCGGATTAATAATTTTATTGGACTATTAGTCCAATCCCAAGCTCATGTCCACCCAAACAAACATGGCCTTAATAGTTTTAAATGATAGAAATTTATTTCAATCAATAACTTAGGTAATTTTATTATTGTGTAGGAGAGTAGTTGTGAATTTCATTTTTACAGTTAATTCTGTTAAATAAAAAATTTCAACAAGGGATTATTTATAATTTTTCAAACCGCATGAGACAATTCATATTTTAAACAAATTTCAGAAGGTATATTTATAATTTACTCTAATAATTTTCATCATCCTTGGGTATTTAAATCTAAGATATTGTTTGGTTTATTAGAATGGAAGAGAATGATCAAGATTGTGTTCATTCCATCAAAATATTTATTTTTATATTTAATTTATTAAAAACATAATAAAAAATACATTACAAATAGAATTATCATTTACCATTATAAGAAAATGATAATTTCATAAGGAAATCTAATGAATGATCATTTCATTCCGTCACATTATATTCCATCTTGAGCATAAGGGGACATGACATCATATCTTAATGCAAGAGAGAGGGGGCAAGAAGTAATAGTAAGGGTGGGCAACGGTTTATCCGATCTGTAAAAACTGTCCAACCCGCCCAATCCGCATACAAATGGGCGGTTTCGCAAATACAATGTGGGCGGATGCGGTTTGAAATATGACATATTTGCCAGCTGCGGGCAGGTTGCGAGTTTAACTCGTACCTGCAAAAAACTACCTGCACTTTATTTATTTATTTATTTATTTTATCTTAACTATCGATTTCATTTCTATATCCCACCTAGATATTTTTGTCCAAAACAAAACACTCTTTATTTTTTGAGCTTACTCTAGCATTACATTTGCTAATAGTATTATATCAACTGAAACTGAATAAATACTGATCATATTATTATTGTTACATAACTGAACTTGTCCCGCATGAAGTGTGATTTAGAATTTTAAATTCCTTAATAAATATGGAGTTATAGTTTAGGATTTTGAAATATATGCTTGTGTTAGTTTATAATTTGATTTAAAATTTTGAATGATTTGTTTGTGTTACGAATTGATTTTGTTATATTTTTAATTTCATAAGTTTTAATTCATTAATTATTAATGTTGGAGCATTTTAGAAAATGGGAAGAAAAGGGCCAAAAATAAATATTTACAAAATGGGAAAAAAATAAGGACCAAAAATAAGTTTTTGAAGAAAAAAGTTCAATCCGCAAACCGCTCGTACATCCGTGAACCCTGTCCGCACAAACTGCAAACTGCACTGCGGGCGGTTGCGGGTTGTCTTTTTTCCAAACCGCATAGATGCGAGCAGGTCCAAATCAATCCACAAACCGTCTAAATCCGAACCGCGAACACCCCTAAGTAATAGAGACCAGTTTAAAAAATTATTGAATATTCTCAATATCATATGACATTATTTACCTGGTATTTACAATCAATGGGAAACTACAGTACACAATCTCAACTACTTAACAAAGTGGAGGGAGAATATCTCACTGGTAAATTTTTTTGTTATGCGATTTGTTTTAGAAGGTTCATTGTAACTGGAAAGAAAATTCCTAACATCATTTTCAAATAACTAATTCAAAATTTTCATGTTAAAACTATTTAACTCAATTTCAAATTTCATAAGTAAATTATTATATTTAAACTTAAGTTATTGTTATCAAATGATTAAAAGTAATTAGTGTGTTTGGTTTAAATTTTTTGGATTAAGTTTTTTAAAAACTGAGTTTTTTGATTTTCTTATTTTTTTATTTTTAGTGAATGTTTTTAAAATTTTAAATATATATATTTTTTTACTTTTTTAGATGCACCTTACATAGATATATCTAAACAGTAAAATATTTGTGAAAAAATATTTTAAAAAATTAATAAATACAAAAAATAATTTTTTTTGTATTTTTTGTATTTAGTGAATTTTTAAAAGTTTTTTTTAGAAATTTTTTACTTTTTAGGTATATTTATGTTAAGTATGTCTAAAAGTTAAAAAAAATGCTTAAAATATTAAAAAAATTCGGTAAAAACAAAAACACAAAAAATAAGAAAGTATTTTTGAATAACTCTAACCAAGACTTGAAGGTTAGACTCACTCTTCAAATTTAATAATATGATAATTTATTAAAAAATTTAAGATAATTCTTTATCTCATATACCCTCTAATTATCAATAAATTATATCTTTTACACATTATCATTGAGACTAGAAAATGAAATTCTATATCATTTTTCCGAAATCAAATTCTTTAATTTAAAAAGTACACCTAACCAAGCGGACATGAAATTATAACTATAGAAAAATTACACAAAGATTTTAGGGTAAATTGCACTTTGCCCCCTTTTGGATTGACCACTTTCTCATTTTGGTTCTTAAAGTTTTTTTTTCTCATTTTGACCCTTCATGTTTTAAGTTTTTCTCAATTTACTCCTGAAACTAACTTCTATTAAAAATTGAACAGAAAATGACATATTAACAATCACATTACATAAAAATATTTTATTATATATAACTTATACATCTGATACAAACTCAAACCCTAATATAATAATTTATTTTTATGTTATATGACAGTTATCATAGCATTTTCTGTCTAATTTTGAACATAAATTACCTTTAAAAGTAAATTGGAAAAAAATTGAAACATAAAGGATCAAATTGAGAAAAAATAAACTTTAAAGGCTATAAAGTAAAAAAATGACCAAACATAAAGGGGTGAAGTGTAATTTACCCAAGATTTTATGATTACACGTCAATCAGCTCGAATACTTGGCAGTAATGAAGATTTAAATGGGAAAATGCTAGAGACTCCCAAAGATTTATTAAATTTCTACCAAATGTCTCATATGTGGGTCTCATGCGAGTCTCACACATTTATATAAGACATTTGGTAAAAATTTTAATAAATCTTTTGAGATCTCTAGTATTACTCATTTAAATGTTCTTATGTTTTGATTTCTTGCACACATGTACGGCTTTGAAGACTTTTAAGTTATTTTAAATTTCGATAATTATATTTAAAAACTTTTGATAATTACAAAAACACCCTTAAGGTTGTAAAATAAAATGAACGTTATGCTCCCATTTGGTAAAGTTTACAATTTACCATTTTTATTTACAAAAATACTTCACATATTCATATTTATTTTTTTTGTAAAAAATAAAAGCAAAAAATAAGTTTGATTCACATGTATTTTTAAATTTTAATTTGAAAAATAGTGAAAAAACATAGTGATCAAAGGTGGTGTTGTCATCTCGCCTGAAACAACTTCCTGTTCAGGAGACTCCTGATAGAAGAGTTTTTTTAATTTTGTTCCTTAGCTTAGGCCTCCATATTACCACAATAATAATAATAATAAATAAATAAATAATTGGTGGCCTAAAGTTGTTTGTGATAGCCGAAGGTGGTTAGAAGTCGTTGTTGGTTGACAAGGTGGTGGCTTGAAGTGGTTTGCGATAGTAAAGTGTGGTTGTTGTACATAGAATGTAGTGGGCAAAGGTGGTTGCTAACAATCAAAGTTAGTGGTAAGCCATTGATTTTCGACAAGAGATAGCGATCGAAGCTAATTATTGCCGGTTGGAGGTGGATAGCCATGGTCAAAAGTGATTGCCAACCCCTTAGAGAAGGTAGTGAAAAGTGTTTATCAAACAAGGTCACCGACAATAAAGGACGGAGCCAAACAAAATATTTACGGAGTGCC